CTGTAATTTATTATTAGTAATAATAGTAGCAGTAGTAGGTATCATATTGGCAATAGTACTTTTTAAATTTTAGTGTCAAGTAAAGACATCTTAGRTAAAGATTCTGACAGTCTTGTCTTTGATCACAGACCCATTCTTAAATTAATTGCTATAATTATGAGGTAAGGTACTATGACTGGTTGAGTGTGGATCAGGAACTAATCTCTGGTCAGTCCTTGCTCARAGAGATAAAGTCTACAAAAAGGTGGCATCTTCTGTCTCTGTTTGAATCATCTGGACAGAAAAAATAGGTTAGAGAGAAAGAGAAACAGTTTCCAGAAGAAGGATTGCCAGACCCTAGAAGGGAGGTCCAGCCAGAACCAATGATTTAAGATTATCTGTGAGGGAGTCAGTATTTTAATTCTGGACTATTTTCCTTCAAATCCTATGCTTTGAAACTGTATAATGAGTTTGTAAGAGTAGAGAATAATTGGATTTTTTTTTATATTTAGACAAGATTTTAAGGCAGAGATTTTAGTGATAATATTACATTCTATAACTCTGTCAGATTGTTTTCTAATCATTAAGTACTTTTTACATATTTAAGAACTTCTCCTGCAAATAAAGATATGAAAAATTGTGAGATATATATATATATTAAGAATTGTAATGCAGGGCTGAGGATGTGGCTCAAGCGGTAATGCGTTCGCCTGGCATGCGTGGGRCACTGGGTTCCATCCTCAGCACCACATAAAAAATAAAATAAAGATGTTGAGTCCACCGAAAATTGAAAAATAGATATTAAAAAATTCTCTCTCTTCTCTTTCTCTCTCTCTCAAAAAAAAAGTACTGTAATGCAAAAAAAAAAGTTCATGTATAATGGCATAAATTGACGTGAACATACTTTATATACAGAGATACAAAAAATTGTGCTCTATATGTGTAATAAGGATAGTAATGCATTCCACTGTTGTCATATATTTTTTAAAAATAATAAAATCAATTAAAAAAATTTCTCCTAGACTTAGGTTGTAATTCAGTGGTAGAGCACTTGTCTAGCATGTGTGAGGCATGGGGTTTGATACTCAGCACCATAAATAAATAAGTAAAATAAAGGTCCACTGACAACTAAAAAATTATTTAAAAATAAATAGATAAAAATAAAAAATTACTCCATCAACATTAAAGTTCTGAGTAGCTGGGCTTGGTGGCTAATGCATATAATTCCAGCATCTTTGGAGGCTAAGGCAGGAGGGTTACAAGTTCAAGGCCAAGCCKTGGTAATCTAGTGAGACCTGATCTCAGAATGAAAAATAAAAGAGGGTGGGGTGGGGTAGAGTTCTAAGTAATGTTGATATTTAGGCTGAAAGCCTTTTTTTTTCCCCCTAAATTATATGACATTTTCTACATTTTACCTTCTAATCCTGATATGGTAGAGATATTAGTATCTACATATGGAAAAGAAGACTGGGGCTCTGAAAGGTTAAGTGATATAATCAGAGTCAATCTGTGTTTCACAGCAGAATCAAATTAGAATCTGTTCCCTGGGTTTTTTTCGTTGTTGCTGTTTGTTTGGTTGGTTTTTTTTTTTGCTCATTTTGTTGCTCTCCATAAGACCCACATGTCTTCCTAATGTCTACATGAAAATAGCATCTTTTACTTTGCTGTAAAAGCTACTTAATAATAAGCATTTTGAGGGTTAAATGTGCCCCAAAAGAATTTTTGCAAATAGGGCTCAAGAGTGTAAAATATAGCTTAATGAGTTTTTATAGCTTTCTAGTTTTCARGCTTCATTTTCTGGTTAGAAATGCTTATTTTCAGAATAGAGGACTAAACTATGTGTCTGGGAAGGACTTCGAAGGTGATTTAATTCTGTCTCTATGATAATATTGGAATAGCATCAAAGTTAAGACAGATGGCTCACTCCCTTCTCCTCCTAAACAGAGCCTGGGAAAATGGAAGTGAATCATATGGACTCAAGGTTTTTCAGCCTGTCTTTGTGAGCCACTTTTGACTACTTCATATTAGATCTATGCAGTTATCAACCTCAGGCTTCTGAAAGCCTAGCTTGGGCTTTGTTTTCTTTGATGATTCAGATTCCAGGGTGCATGGAATTAGATCTGTCAGTCTGAAACACTGGAAGCTCTGTCCCTGGTTCTACCTATAGCTTTGGTTCTTATGKATTTCTCAAGATGTGCAAGTATCTTGAATGTTAATAGGGGTAAAAAAATATATACCTGGGGACCCTGCATATAAAGATTGCCACTTCTCATTGTGGCACAGATCCTTGAAAAGAGAATTCAGTTTTTAAATTACTGGTGTTAAACAGAATGGTTTGTATTTAGGAGAATGTGCGTTGTTGTGGCCAAGCATCTTTCATGTATCTAAATGTATATTTAGATGTTTTTATTTGTCTGAAGTGAGAAGATAATTATAGAAGTTAAGAGCTATTGCATGACAATAGAATAATAATTTGACATCTGAAATTATAAGTTGTAAGAAAATTATTCAATTATCAGTGTGGTTTATGGGGCAAATTTTCAGTTTATTTCTGTATAGAAAGTGATATAATTGAACATTTAATTTTTACTTTTTTATTATTTTAAAAATATATATATGTGTATATATATATATATATATATATATTTAGTTGTAGATGAACACAAAGTATCTTTATTTATTTTTATGAGGTGCTGAGGATCAAACCCCATGGCGCTTTACCACTGAGCTGTAGCCCCAATCCAGAACATTTAATTTTTAAAGTTTTCTCTTTAGCAATGTAAATGATAGTACTTGGTTTTGATTATAAAAGGAATTAATATGAGAATAGAATTTTGCTAGATTATTAAGTTCATTTTATCTCTGTAGTAAGAAGGTTCCCATATTTTATTTAGTTGGGAAAGATTTTCAGAATATGTTTGGAGACAGCATCACAGTTTGTTCCCTGCCCCATACACTTCAATTTATAAAGAGAAATTTGTACTCTTCAGGCTTCCTCCATGTTACACAAACATAAACCTTGTTTGCTGATTAGAGCTGAGAGTCCTTTGTGATGTTTTCTTTTTCACCAAGTGAGCTTTCTTCCTTTGCTCTGCTATTCTTCTGCCTGGCTACTTAAAGTCAGCTCACCGCCTTCTTGCAGCCCTGTTTTCCTGCATGTACACTTGATCTTCTGAGTAGASACTGTCAGTAACAGGATTTAACAGCAGAGCAGAAAGAACTGAAATGTGCACGTTCACATTTACATTGGTATGAATAGTGCTGATCTATGATATTGTGCAATATTTTCTATTTTTGTTATTATCTACTGTCTGAAATGGAGCTGAAGTGATGTTGACCTTGTGTGGAATGCCTCTGAGGATTAGAGGTGGGGGTGAGGGCTAGATTTTCATGTGACTTATTTCTGACATACTGCAGCAGGACTGAAACACTCATCTGCTCACATAAGGAGGAAAGAAAAAAATTCCAAGATTGAGCTTGCAGAATTTGTGTGGTATTTTCAGAATTTTTTCCCTTGTGTTTTTCTGTTTTTCATTTTACCTAATTTGATAAGGGTTGGAGGTGGGAGATGGCCTTTGTATAATAAATAGATTAAGGGATAGAAGGAACAGGCTGCAATGATGATGATTYGCATGGTGAGGGACTGTTTAAAATCTCCAGGACATCATGACCCACATTGCGACCCGTCCGACAAACGGTTAGTGAGCTCCTTGGCCATGTCAAGTCTTTAAAAGTAACAMTATACAAATACCTTTATTCATGTGTTTTTTTCTTCCATACAAATTTTAAAATCATCGTGCCTACATATTCAAATGATTTTTGTCTACATTTAAAAGTATCACCTGAAGAAGGTGAGAAATATAAATGAAGACTGTCCCTTAAATATCTCCTTAGTAGATTTTTTTTACYTTCCTTTATGCCAAAATTCAGTGAAGCCTGAGCCTACATTTGAGTTATGTCTGGAATGGAAACTGAAATATAGTAATGAGGCTTTGAGGAAAACTCTGCAGTACTAATCTGGAGAACTTCTTAAATCCTACCTTCCCCTCTCCATGTTGCCTTCTTTTACTCCTCACCCCACCCCAAAAATATATTGCTGCAGAGTTCTATAGGCTTTTTTTCTCATTTTGTAGAAAAGAAAGGAATGGGAGCTGTGTGTGGGGGTGGGGATGGTGGGGTGTTGATAAACATGGACAGTTAAATTTGTTACATTAAAGAAATAGCTTTATTTTGCAATTCTGAATCTAAGGTCACTTGAGATTCATCATAGGAACACGGCCTCTAACAAAACATGTAACAATTTATAGATGATACTTCAAAGTAAAAGTAGAGCCCAATATGTTTGATTTGAGAAGTGGAAGAGATAAATTCTACTGTGATTCTTATTTTATGAAGTATACATTATTTTATATATTAGATCAATTGAGTTTGTTAGGTTGTTTCAAAATAGCTTTTTAGAACAGATGTGATATTTGATTGAGCAGATTACCTGGTATTAACAATCTTCTCCATTTGTTCTGTGTTGTTGCATTCTAAAATTGATGCTCACTAGTGACTTAAGGGGAAATTAACACTTCGGCAAATGCCTTTTTCCTTAATATTGTTCACCAATTCTGTTAGCCATTTTCATTTCATTTGACAGTGATAATTAAGGGTTAAGCTTACAGAGCTGATGCAACTCCTCCTTTTCTTCAACAGCCATTTTCATTGGACAGTATTTCCATAGCAACAGTGAGATCAGTGGAACCTGAGTGTTTCATTGATTATTTTTCTCTTCTTCCTTTTTTAATCTATTCTCTTTTCACCACATTTTAGTGAGGAAGCAATTTTTTTTAAATAAACAGCTATATTGATTTCTATTCCATAAATAATTAAAAGAGGGTAGAAAAATCTGCCCTTCATTTAAAAATTGAATGTTTGACTATGTATTTAAAAAGCGATTCAGGATTAGGAGGATGGATAACCATACCAGCTGTAGCTGATGTTCTCAAATATTCTTGCATTGTTTGCTGGTCTTCTAGGGAAAAGAATAATGTGGAACAGGACCTTAAGGAAAAAGAAGATACTATTAAACAGAGGACAAGTGAGGTTCAGGTAGGTGAACTATAAAATTCACTATTCCACTTCTGATTTAGGAATATTTTTTAAATATATAAGGTCACTTACTATTTGATGGATATGGTATTAGGTTTAGGGAATATCTGATATTTGTATAATATAAATGTCTTTCTTTTGTAAAATGATTGTTCTTGCTTTGAATTCTGGCTTTTATTATAGTACAATGAGAAAGCAGAAATTTTCAGTGAAGATTTCTAGTTTTGAAAGTATTTTTTAATGATATTTACCTGCATAGTATATCATTAAAGGTAACTTTGAATGACTTTTGATATGAATATTATTATACCAACAAAATTAAATGAGTGAGATCATCATCTCATCATCATGAAAAACCAAATTGCTTTTCTCATGCATATGAAATTGTATTAACTAGGAGACCTACTATTTTCAAAGACTGTTTCTCGTAATTCTGCTTGGGTAGGAGATGATATAGAACAATTTAAAATAACATTTTATATGTTGCTTAGCAGCCAGCATATCTTAACTTTGGTGTAAAGAGATTTAATTCATTTTCACTAAGTTCCTTGTTAAGTAGTTTCATTTTACAAAYAAAAAAGGTAGTAAAACCTGTTTATATTTGGGAAGTGATATAAAATGGGGTGTGTCAAACATTAAAAACATGGAAAATTGGGCAGTGTTTCATTTAGAGCAGTAAACAATTCATGTGGCCATGTTATTGGGGTACCATTTCCTGAATGCTACACTAGCACATACAGGAGGAGATGCCAGTAAGAGCCCATGGATGGGCTTTTCTTAGTGTGTTACTTGTATGTTGATTCCCTATTTATAATAATATTTCTAAATAGGCAAAAGCTCTAAATTGTTAGATTCATTGTTTTGTTTTGATGTGGTACGTTCATTAGGGGTTGTCTGTCAGGTAGATTATGCTAGGGTACAGAGAATGATTTACTGAAAGATTGAGGAAGAAGCCAGAGACATTTCTAGATAGTTGATTCTCTGATTGGGTGACTGCATTTATTCTATATACTGGAATTTTCCTAAAAGCAATGCCAAAGTTAAGATATCACCACCAGTATATTTCTCTTTCTGGTAGTGAGATTAGGTGTAGGAGTATCAGTTACTTGAATCATATTATTTTTGTGCAGTTTTTAAGTTTCTTAACAAATTCCAGAGTCATAACTTTAAGCAGTTATTACTGAAAATAGCTCTGAGAATGGAAGACAAAAATCTAAAAATATTTTCTTGGTCTGAAGAGATACAGTCTTTGATATCTTTGCCAGCTTCTAAATTTAGCCAGTTACTCTTTCAAAGTGCATAGGTTCTTGTGATAAACAATATTTTGTTACTTGAGTACATCCATCCATTGTTTTTTTTCCCTATTGCATCTTTTGAGCATGGGAATTTAAATAACCAGATTAGAAGAGCACTAAACTTCACATTGTTCCTTTCAGGCTCAATGGGTTATTCTTAAATATTTAATTCCTTATCATTATAGAAGTGATTTGCTTGTTCTTACTTARTGGCAGTAGTAAGGTATATGTTTAACCTTAAGCTTTGTGAAATCCAAAATATGTGATTGAYGCAGAAAATCCACATTGCTGAATTTTTCTGCGTAGGGTGCTATAAGTACAAGGAACATGATTAGCATAGACTGAGTAGTAATGGTTGAACATAAATTCCTTAGAAAGTAATGCTAGATTGGTCTGGGGCTATAGCTCAGTGATAGAGTGCTTGCCTAGCCCATGTGAGAGAGACTCTGGGTTTGATCCTCATCACCACATAAAAATAAATAAGTAGAATAAAGGTATTTAAAAAAAATTTCAAGTCCTAGAAGATCCTTTGTAATGTGGACTTGATCTAAAAAAAAAAAAAGTATTAAAAAAGTATTGCTGGATTGATTAAAGCCTTGGGTTAGTAGATTCATTACTCATTTTATCCCAACAAAAGTATTTGTTTTTAATGGTAATGAGGCACTAGACTAAAAATGATAGTAATTGATATATATAAACACTTAGAACTCTACACTTTAATAATCATTTCCAATTTTCTGAAGCACAAGACAACTTGCCAAAAATGGTAATAAGTAGGTTTCATTATATTAATTCTGATGTTACCTGTTGATAATGAAGCATGGACTAGGAATAAAATGGGTAATTAAAATCTATAAGCAGTTTTACTCTCAATACTTCTTTTCTGACAAAAGTAATTTATTAGAGTTATTAATAGAAGCAGACTTTAAAAAGTATGCTTCACTGCTTCTTTCTGACCCCACTTTCTAATCAGAAAAAGAAAATTTGGCCTATCAATGAATTTGGATTAAGTTCAAACCTGAAGATTTTTTGCTTAATCCAAATTTGTTTTTCTGAGTATTCTTGCTTTTTTTCCTTATTACTAAAGTCACAAATAATGAGTACCTGAGTTCACATTTTAAGCACAGAAACCAAATTTTCAAAATCAAAATTGATTTTTTTTTGTTGATTTGTTTATTGTGTTTTTTTTTTGTTGTTGTTGTTGTTGTTTTGTTTTGTTGGTACTAGGGATTAAACCCAGGACCTTTTGACTAATCAACAAATACCTAGGGATTCGCTCTTATTCAGTTTTTCATAAAGGTTTATAGCAACAAGTTGGAAACAAACTTGAATTTAGTTCCTGGTTCTACGACTTCCTAGGTTTGTGATCCTAAATAAATAATTTAATTATCCTATGCTTCTATTTTCTCTTCTGTACCAAACATTTCAGAGGTGGTACAACAATAAATGTTCTGTTTAGTTTTATTATTCTTTACCATACAGTCACCTCTGTACACGCACCTTTCTTCATCAACCTTTTTTTTTTTCTTACCTTCTAACTTCACATAGAACTCTCTGCACATAGGACTTGCCAATTTGTAGATACCCTCATTTGTCTTGGCTATTGCTGTCACTTTAGCTACCACCTATTTTTCTCTACTTTTATTTCTCTGTGTGACCATTTTTTTTCCCTTCCTGTTTTTTCACCAACCCTRTATAATATGCTATTTACCTGTTTCCCTGTGCTTTATTTTTTCTCCTAAAACCAGCAATCTTAAGTAATCACTGCTTTCTTGGGTTATATGCTTCTAAATAMCTTCCTACCTTTTTTTTTTTTTTTTTTACTTCAATTGCCTTTGTGAGGATCAGATAGACAGACTGTGTGTGTGTGTGTGTGTGTGTGTGTGTGTGTGTATGTGTGTGTGTGTGTGTATCTTTCCCTCCTTAATGTCAGGTGCCAGTCCCACATCTTCAGTTAACCATTTTATATTTAGCATTTCAAAGTCAGTATATCTAAAATGAATCTATCTTACTGAAAAAAAATCTTCAGGTTCGAACTTTATTATTTTTATCAGTTCTCTTTTTCATTGCTGTCACCCTTTTCACCTATCATGTATAAATTCACAGTCAGATCATAAGTGCTCATTCTGACCTCTTTTTCCTTTCTTCCAAAACCAATTTTAGTACCATGACTCAGATATAAAAATCTTTATTATTGCCCACTACCACTGTTAATGATGAGAGATTGTCATATATCACCGATATATCTGAGGTAGAAGAAAAAATGAAATACAGACCCTCCTTCATACTAGTCATGTTTTGATCATCTGACTCTGAACTATATGCCATATATATTTCTCCTCATTATCTCTATTTATACCTTGTGTTGTTATACCCTGCTTATATAAATTAAACCGATGCCTTAAAGTTTAGCTCAAATTGTACCACTTCTCTTAAACTTTCTCTTCTCTTGCTCTTTAGTCTATATCAGTTTTTCCAGTATTTTCCCAAAGGAGTGTATATCTATTTTATGGCATATACTTTATGTTCCCTTATAGTGCTAGCTTGGTGTGTGTGTATATAGATTCCAGTATCCTACGTTATGAGTTCTTTGAGCTTAGGAATTGTGCCTTGTATCATCTCTTCTATATTTGGTAATATGTTATTAGATGGAGGTTAATGAATTGATTGATTGATTGATTGATTGATTGATTTTGGTGCCAGGGATTGAACCAAGGGGCACTTTACTACTAAGATATATTCCCAGCCCTTTTTTGTTTTTTATTTTGAGACAGGATCTTGCTATGTTGCTTAGGCTATCCCTAAATTGCTGAGGCTGTCCTCGAACTTGTGATTCTCTGCCTCAGTCTCCTGAGTTATAAGCCTGCATCACTGTGCCTGGCTAKATGGAAGTAAATTTAAGGAAGCAGTTCACAAAAAAAATGAATTAACTTTGATTTTGTGCATGAAACAGATAACAGGAAAAGACACACCCAGAAGCTACAGGCAGAGAGTATTGGAAGCATAGTAGGTGTCATTGAGTTCATAGTAACCTCATGTAAAAGAAGCTCCTAATTATTTGTACTTCATCAGTTAAGAGTAACTCTGAATAATTGCCCATATTGTTTTCATTTTAATTTTAATTCACTTAGTTGGTTTTTTTCTCAGAGGACAAGGGATGATTTATTTTAGTTAGAAATAAAATTAGATTATATGAGCTCAACATTCTTTCCCTGGCGATAATGCTCTTTAGAATACACTGGGAAACAGATGATTAGGAAATAGAGGCAGTCTTGTTTGTGGGGTTTTCTAACACTCACCTCATTTAATAGGCTTCCTTTCTGTTCTTTGAATTGAACATCTTGCTCCACAGTTGATCACCTTTTTTATTTTAAGAATAATCCTGTAACTTCTGTTTTGAGTGTATATAATAATGTTCCTGATTATTTCTCATTTGGGATTAGTCTGTAAAGGTTTTTTTTTTTTTAAGATAAATAACACTTTTTGTGAGATTACCAAAATTTCTCTTGTTATCTTTAATAATTCTTCTGATGTAGAGATATTACTATAAAAATGTGTCTGTATATATGCTTTGTTTTTTTTAAGCAAAACATATTGCCCTTTTGTTTATTTTCACACTGTATTTTGTAAGAAACAGTCAGAAACACATTCATTTTGTTAATATTTTATAGGTTGAATTCTTACTGGGGATTGAACCTAGAGGTG